CCATTTTATGCAACTTTCTTTTCATTTGCTACTCTTAGTGTAGCTTTCACACCACAACTCCAACAATTTAGAATGAACAATAAAGTGTTAACTGGAAACATTTACTTTGGTTCTCTTTATAAGAATGAATGGTAAAGCTTCAGCCTTCACGAGCAGTTGTGTGTGCCTTCCTTGGTTAGAATGTTATTATAGCACAAACATTCCTCCTTATTACCACAGAAACTAGATGGAATGCATAAACATCTAATGTAACAATTGTTACATAACTCTAGGCAGTGTTCCTATATTGTGCTTAGACCAATAATAGTCACAAGTACCAAGACATTTTGAATCACAAAATAAATCACATCTTTTAAATCCTCACAAAAAAAGGGGCAGGGGGTACCACAAAAGAGTTGGTCTCTCTAAAGTTTATCTTACGTTTAAGGGTCAATAATCCTTCTTTGCCAGCCTAATGACAAAATATAGAATAGTTAACCATAACAATGCATTTCCTCTTAACACAAAGCTACATATACTTAGCTAATACACTTGGTCAACATACTATTTTCAATTTATAACATTAAGAAAGGTTGTTTAGGCCCACAAGAATGGGAAAAATATGTGAATATATGATCATCATTCATCATGCAGTTGTAAGGATATACAAAGATTTATTTACATAGATAAACAACTTTGGTATAAGTACCTTAGGTGAATCTGTTGTACCTATGATTTTGATGATTACAAAACATATTTGAGTGACTAATTGGTTCGTTTAAGTGTGTAGTTATATTTCCAAAAGACTACAAAGTAAGTAAAATAAGATTGCACTAAAAAGGACAAAAAAGACTGAAAAATGTGCAGAGTCGGCTTAAAGAATTTGCAACCGGTTGTAGATTTTAGAGCCAGCTCTACAGGTGAAAGTTTCAAGTCCATTGTTTGGCGCATGCGAAAAATAGACTCAAAGTTGACTCTGACTTTCCAAGCAACTGTGAGGGCGCATTTAATGCACAATAGTCAAGTTATTTGAAGATTTCTTTAATATTTTAAAGTTGAATTTCCAAAGCCGGCTTTACATTTTGCAGCCAACTCTTGAGGAAAACATAATGTACAAGAAACCTGCAAAGCTAGCTTTACGTCTTGTAGCTGGCTCTTCGAGAAAAATAGAATGTGTAGGAAACCTGCAAAGCCAATTGTGCAGAGAGCCGACTCTATACTTTAAGCTGGCTGTACTGACAATTCTACAATTAAAAATTACATGACCTGCAAAGCATTAAATGATCCCCAATGGCTAGTAACGGTTATTTCTGACCATGGGGTTATAAATATGGTTGGTAGAAGATCTGAAACAAGTTTAGAAAGCATTCTATTGAATATCTCTACCTACCAACTTGTGCTTTAACTTTGAGTATTTAATATTTGAGTGATTTATGCTTATAATCCTCTTCTTGTTTTATTTGTGAGCGATCTTAGGGGTGTGATTATTTCTTCAAGAGTGATTTGTAGAGAGGATTGTTTGGGTTTATTTTGTGAGAGAAATGCTTATCTTCTCGTAAAAGGATTGAGTAGCTCTTTTAAGCCACCCTTATTCTTAATAGTGGAGTGTGTGAAGGAAATCCTTGGTGACTGAAGTTGAGGTAGAGGACTAAGCTCCAAGTGGTTGGACTAAGCTCCAAGTGGTTGGACTAAACCTCTATAAAATCATTGAGCAAACTCTTTTTCCTTACTCTCTTTAATTCTATTGTTTTGTGGTTGCAAAAAGGAGGAAAATTTTGAACTCCAATTCACCCCCTCTTGGAGTGCATTGAGCCAAAAATTGGTATCAAACCAAGGGCTCCAATTTGAAGGTTTAACCACCTAGGAGTTGATCAGGGATGGCTCAATTTCAAACTTCTCAACCACTTGAAGGTTTCTCAACCACTTGAAGGTTTATCTACCACTAAGCCTCCTTTCTTTGATGGTACTGATTATAATTATTGGAAGAATAGGATGAAGGTCTATATGCTTGCAAATGAGCCTAGGGGCATGGATCGTGACTATGAAAGGTCCATATGTGCCCAAGAAAGTTGTTGGAGAAAATGAGGTGCCAAAGGAAGAAGTTGAATGGAATGATGAAGACTTCGGGAAGATCATGATCAACAACAAAGCAATCAACATGCTTTAATGTGCTTTCAATCCAATGGAATTCAATAGAGTTTTTGGGTGTGATATGGCTAAAGAGATGTGGGATAAGTTAGAAGTAACACATGAAGGAACAAGCCAAGTGAATGAGTCAAAAATCAATACACTCATTCGCATGTATGAGCTTTTCAAGATGAAACTAAAGGAGAGCATTTAAGATATATATACAAGATTGAATGATATTTGTTGTACCTATGATTTTGATGATTACAAAACACATTTAAATGACTAATTGGTTTATTTAAGTGTGTAGTTAAGTTGCTAAAAAAATTCCAAGTAAACTTGGATTGCACTAAAAATAGACCAAAAGGATTCAAAATGGCAGAGAGCCGGCTCTAAAAATCTAGAGCCGGCTCTAAAAATCTGCAGCCAACTCTGGTGAAATGGAAGTGCGGATAGTCGGCTTTGGAAGCTGCAGTCGGCTCTAGAAGCTGCAGCCGGCTCTACAGGCAAAAATTTGAAGACCGTTACTTGGCGCGCGCGGAGAAAAGACGCAAAGCCAGCTCCAACTTTATAGCCGGCTGTGAGGGTGCATTTAATGCACAACGGTCGACTCATTTGAAGATTTTTTAATGAATTTAAAGTCGAAGTTGCAAAGCCGGCTCAAAGTCTTACAGCCGGCTCTCGAGGAAAATAGAATGTGCTGCAGACCCGGATAGCCGGCTCTGCAAAGCTGGCTCTAATATGTTAAGGCGGCTCTCCTGACAATTCTGCAGCTTGAGCTTTGTGTCCTGCAGAGCATTTAATGACCCCCAACGGCTAGAAACGGTTATTTTCGAGCAAGGGGCTATAAATATGGTTGGTAACAGATCTGAAGAAGTTTTAGAGAACATTGTATTGAATATCTTTACTACCAACTTGTGCTTTAACTTGAGATTTTGATCTTTAAGAGATCTTTGTTTGTAATCCTCTTCTTGTGCTATTAGTGAGTGATCTTGGGGATGTGTTGATTCCTTCAAGAGTGATTTGTAGAGAGGATTTTTGGGGTTAAAGTGCAAAGGGGTGAGATTTAAGAGAAACCCTTCTTCTTGTAAAGGATTGAGTGGCTCCTTTAAGCCACCATTGTTTTTTGCTAGTGGAGAGTGTGGAGGAAATCCTTGATGAGTGAAGCCAAGATAGAGGACTAGGTTCCAAGTGGTTGGACCGAACCTCTATAAAATTATTGTGCAATCTCTTCTTCTCAACTCTCTCTTTAATTTTTGTTTGGTGGTTACAAAGAGGCGAAAATTCTCCAACACCAATTCACCCCCCCTCTTGGAGTGCATTGAGTCAACAATATTGTCACAAATGTCAAGGCTCTTGGTAAAGTTTATCTTCCTTAAGAAGTGGTGAGGAAGGTTCTTAAAAGCTTGCCTAAGAATTGGGAAGCCAAGAAGACCACAATTGAAGAGTTTAAGGATTTCAACACTTTCAAGCTTGATGTTCTCATTGGAAAATTGATGACATATGAGATGGATATGCAAGTTGATGGTGGAGTTGAAGTAGTTGAGAAGAAGAAAAATGTTGCATTCAAGGCTAGCAAACAAAAAGAAGAAAGTGAAGATGATGCTAGTAATGATGAGTCTAGCAATGAAGAGGACATCACCAAATTGGTTTTAAAGGAAGCAAAGAAATACATGAAGAAGAGCCTCAAAGGGAAATCCTCTAGAAGAAAAACGAAAATTCACTATTTTAGAAGAAGAATACGTAGTGATGATGATGATAGAGGAAAGCCAAGTAAGAAGCATATCAAATGCTGTGAGTGCAACAAGATGGGGCATTATAGAAATGAATGCCCTCAATTGAAGAAGGGTGAGAGGAAAGACAAGAAGAGCATAAGAAGAAAGCTTTTGCCGTCGCTTGGAGTGATGATGAGACTACCTCAATGGAAAGTGAAAGCTCCTTGGAGAATGGTGTTGCAAATCTTTGCTTCATGGCTCAAGAGGATAACTATAATGATGAGGAGGTAAACTCTAACTTATCTAGTTCAATTAATGAAAGTTCCTTTGAGTATTCTTATGATAATTTATGCAAAAGTTCTTGATTGCTCTATGAATGATATCCATAAACAAGGGAATGAGAATCTTGCTCTTACTAAAACCATTTCATTGCTTAAAAATGAGATTGAATCCCTTTCAAAACAAAATGAGGTTTTAGTTAAAAGAAATGCCTCCTTAAATATTGAGATTGCATCTTTAAAAAATGAGGAATCTAGTAATGCTTTGAAAAAGGAAAATGAAAACTTGAAAAAGAAAGTTTGTGATCTTGAGTAAAGAAAAATTTGATTTTATCTTAAAATTTCAAAGAAGTATTTATGACAAAAGGGGTATTGGATTTTATTATTCTAAAAAGCAAAAGACCTCTAAGAACTTCTTTGTGAGGGCAGGTCAATTCTCTAATTTTAAAGTTACTTGCTATTGTTGTGGTGCAAAGGGACACTTTGCTTACATATGTCCTTTGAAGAGATTGATAGCTCAATACCAAGTGAACCAAATTTGGGTTCCAAAAGGAACTTTAAGCATTAACGCCCAAGGACCCAAGCAAATTTGGGTACCAAAAATCAAAACTTGATTTTGTATTATAGGTAAAGTTGATGGCAAAGTCATGGGAAAGGCAAAGTCATGGGAAAAGCAACGTTGATCCTTGATAAAGACTTATACCTTAACAAGAATGTTGGAGTAAAAGTGCAAAGAAAAATTTGTTTTTAAAAGCTTAACTCATGTGCTCAAATTGGTATCACTTATCTTATTGCATTTATTCATTAGGTATAATTACATTAGCATGATTATTAACTATTTGTTCATGTGTGCTCACTCTTTAATATATATGCTTGTTAAGTATGATAGCATTTAATGTGTCTTTTCTAGTGTTGATATTAGAAATCAATTAGCCAATATATTCACAAAACCTCTTGATCATGATAGATTTTTCTTTATTAGAAATGAGCTTGGCATGTTAAATCCTAGTGTTTGATATGGTTCTTGAAATTAATGTATTTGCTTATTAGAATTTATGCAAATTAATGACTTTGATATGTGTACCTTGATTATAATCATGTTATTTGTTGATGCACACATTGATATATTACTAAAATTGCATATTTTAGTAATTGATGTCCAATTTAAACTTAGTTAAATGAATAATTATCAAATTAAGGTGAACTTTCTTCAAACAACCCCAAACCTTTTAATTGTACCAATCAAGGCCAGTACAGTCAGCTGCACATTTTTACAACCGGCTCAACCTCGAAAAACAGAATGTCAAGATTCTCCCAATTAAGCCGACTTTCATCCCACAACCAGCTCACCCAAGAGCAGGTCCGACCCAAACCCACAACACAGTTGGCTCTCCTACAATTTTTAAATGCCTTGGGTTCTTTCTCTCTTCGCACCAAATCAGTTTCGTTTCTCTCCAAAAAACACTACCTTTCCTCTCCCAATCACCCAAATCCTTCCAGATTGCAAAACCCACCATTTAAACACTCTAATACTCCATAACCCTTACATACCCAGCATCAATCTTCAAGTTTTTGCTCCAATTTTGTGTGAAATCTGCTGTTCTCTCTCTCATGGGTTCAAGAAGGGCTGGAAGGAAAAGAAAACAAGTGGGAAATTCAAGTGTTGGGGGTCAGGCTTGGGAAGAAGGTAACATCTTTGATTCTAGTCCCTTTTGGGAGAAGGAAGCTTCTCAAAAGTATGAAGCTGTCAAGAATTTGTCTGTTTTACCCTGCAATAATGTGAAGTTTAGTCAGTTTCCTCAAGGTGATATGAATGTAAAGGCGATATTTAGTGAAATTGGGTGGATTAGTTTTTTAGAGATTAAGGAGCTCGTGTATAATGATGTGGTTCATCAATTTTATGCAAATCTGAAACCCAAAAAGAAGAAGTGTAAAACAATGGTTTCTGGGATGTAACTTCAGTTTTCACCTAGGGAAATTTGTGCTACACTGGAAATACCTAAAGGAAGAGATGATAATTTTGAAGATGTAAATATAGCATTAGTTAGAGACACAATTGCTCCAAATTGCACTACAAGTCAAATTAATGTGGGGTTTCTTACACCAGAAAACAGAGCATTATAGTGGATTATTAGTCGCATACTTGCTCAAAGAAAAGGGTCTAAATCTGTTGCACTTGGCAATGATCTCCCATGGTTTGATTATCTTCTCAAAAGGAAAAGACTGAACCTTTGTAGGTTTATTTACCAAAACATAATCAAGAATTACACGACAGATATGTGACTTCGTCATGGTGCATTGATCACTAGGTTGGTGAAATGGAACAACATTGATCTCGCACCGTATAGGCTTGGGGAGATTAAAGCTGGGATTACACTCAACATAACTTCTTTTGAAAAATTGCAATGTGAGTTAAGGAATGGCATTTGGAGGAAGAAACAGGATCAAGTAATGAAATAGCAAAGGGATGAAGAAAAAGGAGATGCAGACCAAGAAATGGAAGAGCAAGGGGAAGAAGAACATGGAGGTGACAACCAAAGACCTTTTTAAGCCTCCATGCAACGAACTAACCACGAAACCATGGAGCTTATGATGAATGAGATGCGGCAATTGAACACTGATTTTTATGATTTCTGGAAGGAGATGAGAGGGAGGATGGATACCATGGATGGAAAGCTTGATCAGCTTGTTAACCACTTTTTCCCTCCACCCCCAACCAGTGCCACCTAACTTGCTATTTCTCTTTTGGCTAATCTTTAGGATAGACATCTTAGGCACATGCATTTTCATTTTTAAATTGTCTTTATTCTACTTTCTTGTGTTTGGTGGCTAAGACTAAATGCTACTTTGTTAAATATGATGCCCTTTTAATGTTCTATAATTGTGAATTTTAATGAAATGTGACCTTGGTATGGTCTTATATTAATGGCATGAGTTGTAAACTTTATCATTGATGGTTGCTTATGATTTTGATGATTATCAAATGCTTTTATCGAGGAGGAGAAATTTGTGGATATTATGCTTGAATTACATTTTTTTTTATGCTTTCAAGGTTGAAATGCATGAATTAAGGGGGAGTTTATTGATTATGTACTTTTTGATGGATGACAAAAAGGGGGAGAAAGTGTGTTAAATTTGCTGTCCATTTTTGGACTATTTTAATGCTGAAATTTCTTGTTAATTTTGAAGTATATATGTGGTGTCATTAATTCATTCTCAAAGTGTTTTGTCATCATCAAAAAGGAGGAGATTGTTGTACTTATGATTTTGATGATTACAAAACACATTTGAGTGACTAATTAGTTCATTTAAGTGTGTAGTTAAATTACCAAAAGATTGCAAAGTAAGTAAAATAAGATTGTACTAGAAAATACCAAAAACGCTGAAAATGTGCAGAGAGCCGCTTAAAGAACTTGCAGCCGGTTGTGGGAGGCAAAAATACAAAGAGCCTGCTGTAGATTTTAGAGCTGGCTTTATAGGTGAAAATTTCAAGTCCGTTGTTTGGCGCACACACAAAACAGACGCAAAGCCGGCTCTGACTCTGCAGCCAGTTGTGAGGGCGCATTTAATGCACAACGATCAAGTTATTTAAAGATTTCTTTAATATTTTAAAGTCGGATTTCCAAAGCCGGCTTTTCATTTTGTAGTCGGCTCTCGAGGAAAATAGAATGTACAAGAAACCCACAAAGTTGGCTTTACATCTTGCAGTCGGCTCTTCAAGAAAAATAGAATGTGCAGGAAACCCATAAAGCCGACTGTGCAGAGCCGGCTCTATACTTTAAGCCGGCTGTGCTGACAATTCTGCAATTAGAAATTACACGACTTACAGAGCATTAAATGACCCCCAACGGCTAGTAATGGTTATTTTTTACCATGGGGTTATAAATGTGGTTGGTAGAAGGTTTCGAACAAGTTTAAAGAGTATTGTATTGAATATCTCTACCTACCAACTTGTGCTTTAACTTTGAGTGTTCAATCTTTGAGTGATTTTTGCTTATAATCCTCTTCTTGTTCCATTTGTGAGTGATCTTGGGGGTGTGATTATTCCTTCAAGAGTGATTTATAGAAAGGATTGTTTGGATTTATCTTGTAAATGGGTGAGATTTGAGAGAAATACTCATCTTCTTATAAAAGGATTGAGTGGCTCCTTTAAGCCACCCTTGTTTTTGATAGTGGAAAGTGTGGAGAAAATCCTTAGTGAGTGAAGCCAAGGTAGAGGATTAGGCTCCAAGTGGTTGGACCGAACCTCTATAAAATCATTGAGCAAGCTCTTCTTCCTTACTCTCTTTAATTTTATTGTTTTGTGGTTGCAAAGAGGAGGAAATTTTTTAACTCCAATTCACCCCCCTCTTGGAGTGCATTGAGCCAACAAGTTGGGGTGGTAGCAATTGGAATTTGGGTTTGCAATCTAAGGAAACCGATTTGAATGGAGGTGGTGTTGGAGTTGCTTCTAGCTTTTCTTTTCTACATCCAAGAAGCATTCTTTGTGTCGAGCATGTTTCTTTCCATTCAAGAATAGGTATGCAAAATAGATTTTAGTGTGAAGGTTGAAATTGTTTCTTGGAAATTCTAGTAGTTAGTTGCAATTAGTGTGAAGTTTGAATTTGATGTGAATATTTGTGTGATTTTTATGAGTTTTTAGAGAATTTTTGGGTCTTGTAATCGAATCCTATGATGTTCAAGAAAATTTCAATTTTTGTAAATTTTTTTATTCTTTTAAA